CCTGAGCTTCCTGCTTCCAGGTCGTCACTAGTGAGCTTCCTGGTTTCAGGTCGTCACACCTGAGCTTCCTGCTTCCAGGTCGTCACTAGTGAGCTTCCTGGTTTCAGGTCGTCACACCTGAGCTTCCTGCTTCCAAGTCGTCACACCTAAGCTTCCTGCTTCCAGGTCGTCACTCTTGAGCTTCCTAGTTTCAGGTCGTCACTCTTGAGTTTCCTGGTTCCAGGTCGTCACAACTGAGCTTCCTGATTCCAGGTCGTCACACCTGAGCTTCCTGCTTCCAGGTCGTCACTCCTGAGCTTCCTGGTTTCAGGTCGTCACTCTTGAGTTTCCTGCTTCCAGGTCGTCACACCTGAGCTTCCTGCTTCCAGGTCGTCACTCCTGAGCTTCCTGGTTTCAGGTCGTCACTCCTGAGTTTCCTGGTTCCAGGTCGTCACAACTGAGCTTCCTGGTTTCAGGTCGTCACTCTTGAGTTTCCTACTTCCAGGTCGTCACACCTGAGCTTCCTGGTTTTCCAAGTCGTCACTTATCAGTTTCCTGGTTCCAGGTCGTCACTCATCAGTTTCCTGGTTTCAGGTCGTCACTCCTGAGCTTCTTGGTTTCAGGTCGTCACTCTTGAGTTTCCTGCTTCCAGGTCGTCACACCTGAGCTTCTTGGTTTTCCAGGTTGTCACTCATGAGTTTCCTGGTTCCAGGTTGTCACTCATCAGTTTCTTGGTTTCAGGTCGTCACTCCTGAGCTTCCTGCTCCAGGTCATCACTACTGAGCTTCCTGGTTTCAAGTCGTCACTCCTGAGTTTCCTGCTTCCAGGTCGTCACACCTGAGCTTCCTGGTTTCAGGTCATCACACCTAAGCTTCCTGGTTTTCCAAGTCGTCACACTTGAGCTTCCTAGTTTTCCAAGTCATCACTCCTGAGTTTACTGGTTCCAGGTCGTCACTACTGAGCTTCCTGGTTCCAAGTCGTCACTACCAAGCTTCCTGGTTTCAGGTTGTCACTAATGAGCTTCCTGCTTCCAGGTCGTCACTACCGAGCTTCCTGGTTTAGTGACCCCGAGTCACATATTTTACTTCGGCTCCGGCCATAGTGACCCCGAGTCACATATTTTACTTCGGCTCCAGCCATAGTGACCTAGTGTCATACTTTTTACTTCGGCTCAGGCCACAGTGACCCAGTGTCACATGCTTCACTTCGACTCCGGCCATAGTGACCCCGAGTCCTATTTCACTTCAGCTACGGCTATAACACATGACTCTGTGTCATGCATTTTTACCTCAGATATGGTCCAAAACACATGCACCGAGCTCGCCTGGTTTTAACACCAGCTCCCCCACGCCTGCTCGATAGGAAGCCGGCATACACATGCACAACAGACTTGGCCGCGATGGCTTCAGGCCGCCTAGATCGGTCGTGCGTGAGGGCGGACATGAACATAAAACATCACTCCTCATCCTTAGGGTCAAACACCGTGCTAACAAGACTCCCAACCCAGTTCGTCAACCGAACACCGAGGGGGGAGTAATGTTGGGATTAGGCCCAATGCCCTCTTAGGGCCACATGCAGCAGGCCCAACTACGCACCCACAGGCCCAAGAGGAGGAGACATACCCACGTGGGCAGCACCA